ACTGGTTGAGGTATACCTCAAAAACGAAGTGCTCGAAGCACTTTGAAATTCTTGATCGATTTTTACTATAGGTATTCGCCGAAATTGTGAATCTCAAACCAAAAATGTCAAACAAACGAAGAATATTCGCATATAAAATATTTACCAAAATTGGCTTTCTGGATTTTTATTTCAGAGATATATTTACATTGATAACATTGACTTTGTGCGTTTATGTTGTCTATTATTTCTCGGCCGTTTGTGCTTATTAAACAAAACAAATACCATGAAGTTTGTTTAAATGACTTTTTTTCCCTCTATAGTATAATAATACAATGAATGAATGTTTTGCGCATATTTCTGCGGAAATCTGAATGCGTTGAGATAAGTAAAGCAGGCCTACTGTCATATTACATATGAGCACGTGCGACGATAGCCCGTGGCAAGCCCATGTGACGATCATCTGTTATTGTTTCATCTCGTCTTACATATAATTGTTTTAAGCTCGTCTTACTCGATGCAATACGTACTATATTATATTACGTTGTGTCGTCTAGTACAATAGCGTTTTATTCAAATTATGTTTTTGTATATAAAATAAATGCGGTTGCGTTTTATAATTGTTAATGTTGCTGCTGTTGTACACAACACATTGTAATAAATGTGCACCGCACAAATACATTGGGTATTTTATTCATCTGTATTGCGACGTTTATTTCGATTTCTGTTTGAATATGCGCAAATATTTTGGCAATCAAATCGTTCGTTTGTGTTAAATACACGATGGTTGAGCGCAAATTCAAAAGGAAGCCACAACATCAGCAGTGTGCTCACTTCTTATGCGATACAAGCACAACGCACACATACTAATTGTTTTTTTTTCGTTCGTTGTCTTAAGACAACATACACACTGGCTACAGAGAGGAACGCACACGAGCACAAAAGAACGAAGAACGAAACGTCAATTTTTGATTAGATTGGAGCAGTGCTCTCAGTGGTCTGAGAATGTTGACATTTTGATAACTAATTCGTCTTTCGTATTTATATTATAAAGCAATCTAATTAAAGATTTTTAGTTTTTTCGTCAGTTGTGCCATTTGAGAAACGTTTCCTTGGTACCGTGACTCTTTGATCACGAAAAAACTCTTCAGTTCAGCACGAATTTGGTGTGTTAAAAAGTTTTGTGAATCAAATTAAAAACGAAAAAGTTCAGAAAACCACCAACATGCATCGTCGAACGAAAAAATCACGTAAGATAAATGAATTTCTTCAGTATTTATTGGGTTATGACATTTTGAATTATCGTTTAACACAGTTTTTTCATTAATCTTTTTGGCGCCTTCGATTTGTTCCCCAAAATGTGCCGATTTTATGTGTTATCGCTAATAGAGGAAAAATGATGAAATTTGACGTCAATTGGCTTTGATAGTATTTTCCCCTGAGTTTTCAATCAATTTCATATCAATTCGATAGGTTTTCCTAGTTTGCTCCAATTTTATTAGTGGCTTTAGTTCTCTTATCAACAAATATTGACTTCGTTAGCATTTCTTTCACATGCTTTTTTTATCTAACATCCTGTTTTTTTCTTTCGGATTTATAATTCGATTAAAATAGACAAAAAAAAAGTAATAATGAAACAAAGTTAAAGTATAAGACTCTTAATTGATGTGAATTTATGCCAAATTTTTAATTACAAAAAAAGAAAACGTGATCACAAATACTACAATTTACAAATAATTGTTGCCTAGATGCGCTAGACTTCGTGTTTGCCGTGTAAATCAATTTGCAGTGCAAAATAACATTTCGAGCAAATGTATTTTTGTACACGTATCCCAATATAATACTCAAATAATTCGATATTATACACGTCTGTTTTATAAAATGGCAATGAAATGAAAAGAGACAGATTTAAACAATGTATATAAACAACTTTCAACAAGTGGCATCTCATACGGAACTTTACTCAAACCGTTGAATCCATGAAATGGATTAGTAGGCCATTATCTATCGAAGATTACACTTTTGAACATAATGAACTTGAACGCTTACAGATCGACTTTTTCACATCGCACATGCTAATTGATTAATTTGTTTGTATTGGTTTTTCGTACAAAACAGTTCCTTCCTCTTCCATTTTTATGCAAATTCGATTTGGTATACCAAATTTATGTGCTAAATTTTTATAATCGTGAAAATTAACATCTCATGGATCGCATTGGATCGATATGGATTCTCACAAGCATACATTGGGCTTCTGCAGAAAAAAAACGACGTAGATTTCTGAATTCAGTTTAATCCATTTAAACACATCATGATTCCATTAATATTAATTGAATAAACTGTAATACGGACAATAATGTGACCTTCGAAAAATTATTTGATACCAAATTCTAAAAAGTTTGTGTTTTTATTTCAACATACATGGGTAACAGGTGGAGACGATACTTTTTCTTATGAAACGTTACCATTCATGTGATTCTTCTGAAAATAGAATTATTTATATCGATTCCGTATTACTTTTGAAATAAATAAAACGCAAATTACAAACTTCCAATTTTCTGGGTCGACCTTTGTCAAAAGACACTGCAGTCAGTGAAAAAACATTGTTGGTAGTTACCCATTCAATTGTTGGCAGACGTAATAATGCATTGACGTAAGAGCCCATTAGTCATCATCAAACTGTGTACAAACGTCATGCTCAGACAGATTTCAAGTGCATAAAATTCAAGTATGATAATCTTTTGCAATGTCTCCATTTTATCAATATTTCAGCATAACATGTTATAGCTTTAATTGGATTCGAAATTAATATTTCATTTTTTTTTGAAAAAAAAAATGGATTTAAAATTTAGCTCATTTCTCTGATTTAAAATAGTCGTTCGTTCTTTTCTGTTTTGTTTTGTTTAAATATAGTGACAACAAAAAATGGAATTCTAAAGAGTTTTTTTTCTATTCGGTCAAACACACCAATTTATTGAACAAGTTTTTGCTCTGTAGAAATTGAACAAAATGAACTTTGATCATTAATCAAATTTTGTATCGAATTACTGTCGCGTTGGATGAATTTGATTTTTCAACAAATTAATCCAATCAAATTTCGGTAATTGACTTTATTATTACAAATTAAAATAAAAAATTATGGTATCAGTAGACAATCGCCGAATGTGTTTTATGTATAGAAATAACTAATTGGAATGGTTATGATATGAGAAGTATTTATCACACAAAAAAAACGACACCTGTTGAATTCATGCATTATCGTCACAAGTGTGTATAGTCAAACGAATTCAGAATTGCGACAAAATATTTATAGTTTTTGTTTCATCAATCTGTTAGCTAATATTGTTATCGTAATTGTTCTATGAAGAGGAACAATCAAGTGTTGGCTCATCCTTTAGCCATTCGTTAATAATGAATCATAACACAGAAGCTAACTGTTTATTTAGCAAATCTGTAATTACTTGCATTTTAAATGTTCCATTTTCGGTCATTTGAGGCGAGTGTATTTTTGTCGTTGTATTTAACGGTCTCAAACGTGCCCAATGCCGGTATGCCAACACTAATGATTATTGTGATAGCAATGAGCGAAACACACACACACATTGCTATGCACTCAGTAATGAAAGTCATGGTCTCGTTTGTTTAATTGCTTGCAATTGTGCTCGCAACAGAATTGAATCGTGAAACATGTGAACGACATTCGCTCTCTTACCGAACAGGTCTTTATAATACTCAAATTAAATTCAAATGTCATTATTTTAGTTCCGTACTTAAGACAGTGAAATCGATTTAGAATGAAATGGCAGAAAAAAACGAGTCAACAATTGTTAATGAATAAGTATAGTCCCCGTCACAGTGCATTCAATTTGTGAATGGAGCCAATTGCCTTCTTTTCATACTTAAATTTTCTTTCCGTAAACACTTGAAACTTGTATCAAAGCCTTCAGAGATGATGATCTATTGATAAGATGTCAATTCACTATATCACATTTACAGAGTGATACACATGACTATAATACAGAAACAAGAAATTAGCGGCAATATGAAACACAAATGATATTCAGTAGGGGGTTTTGGCATATACACACATGTCTGTGTCCAAACTGATGATGAGCATGTGTCGGTGTGCATAAGTAATTTATTTTTTTTACTTGTCTTTTCGGTGTCGTTGTTTATGGTTTTTAGTATTTTGCGGGAAAAAAATCGTATTGAAAACAACCGAAAATCGTTGGTATGAGTGATCTAACAAACGAATTTGTTCTTATGAGAGTAAATTATGAAGATATATACGATGTAGACATCATTATAGTGTATTAAATGCGGTGACAACACAGAACATTTTGTTGTTTGTGTTGTACAGAAGCCGATTGCTGGGACAGGGAAAGAGAGAATAAAAATGATATAATAAAAAAAGTTCAAAAGCTGAATCGAACAGTTGAGCTCGAGATATTCAGAAAAAAGCACACATTACACGGCGACAGACGAAACATTTCACCACTTTTTGTTTTGTGGTCGGTTCGAGTGTACTTTTGAATTGAACAGATACATTTCAAATTCGATATGATTCACTTCAAGTTTTAAAAGTCGATTTTTTTCGTGCTTCATTTCTATTGCACATTTTTGATTGATTATTTTGACATTTTTATTGTCTCTAAGTGATGATTTCAAGTTTTTCGATGAAGTGATATTTATTTTTGCGATACGATTTTTATTAGGGTGACATGATTGCAATTTTTTCTTTAAATGATTGTCGTGAACATTGAAAACTAAAAAAAAAAAAACAATAAAAAATTGTTACTTTGTAAACAAAATTTAAATGTGAAACAAAACAAACAAAAACTAAGCTCCGCAATAAACCGTTTTTTATGTAAAATGCTCATAAAATATCCGTACATAAGCACCAACTTTTATTTACAAAAGTAAAGAGAAAATAGATTGATGTAAACGTGAAAAATCAACAAACAAAACAGTTAAAGGATTTAAAACAAAACAAAAACAAAAAAATACGATTCTATTTACAGTTACAGTTCAGAGCAACAGCGACCGCCTAACTGAACCAAATCAAATAAAATGTAAACCAAAATGTAAACTGGCTTTTGACTTGAATTATACCACAAATCGAGAAGATAGATAAACAGAAGTCGCCAGTCAAAAGCTCACAATCAAATAACATCAAAGCCAGAGGAAGAGAAACTGTTGGCCCCCAGGACACATCCATCGATGGTTAAGAGGAACAGCATAAAACAGAAAATATTCTATCTGAATGAATCGACCGTATTTTATGGACAAATACCAAAACCTTGTACATCGCGATCCACTAACATTTCCAAACGAATCACTATTGCTGGCAGCCAACGCCATCGCAACGTACAATTCGTGTGCATGCAAGCGCACATTTTCTAACTTCTTCCCACACACACAAAATCAATCTAATATCACATAAACATTCATTGGCGCACATCCGAGCGACATTTTATTTTCATCAAAAATGGCAAAAACACAAGATGTCAACGCAATAACAACCACATTATCAACACCAACATCACAAACAGCCAAACAAATTGACAATTCACCGGTTCCAACAATTTTACTAAATATAAACGAACAAAATAATAACTCAATCAACACATTACCAACATCGAAAAAAGACATTCTACAATGTTTGCCAGAAATGTTCACTGATATCGATTTGGCAAATCATAACAACTTAAACGATTCATATATCAGTGGTGATTTGTACAAATCGTATATCTTTGGTAAGTTTACCTCTACCGTTTTTAATTTCCATTTTATTTTGCCTCTGAAGGGATTCCATTCATAAAAATGAAATCAAAATATTATTCACTTTTATTTATTTATCGTCTATTCCAAATTCCCATTACCAATGAGACACTTTGAAATTAACGCCTAAATTCACCTGCGTTCAATGTGAACGACGATATTTTAGAAAAAAAAAACAAACATTTTGCATGAATTTTTTCGATTTATAAGAATTCAAACAGTTAACTGAAAAGAAGATATTTTTATGACAATTTTTTTTAAATTCAATCGTATTTCACGCAACATTCAACAATCCAAATCGTAAAAAATAAATAGAGTATATTGTGTGAAAAATTGTTATCATGTAGTAAATTCCATTCATGACATTAATTCAACTCATCCTACCGAAGAAACTATATGGAAAGTGTTTGGTTTTTTTCCACATAAATTCGAGTCATTTTATTTTCATAATAATTTTATTTGTGGTGTTTGTTCAGCAATCAATTTTTGGGACACCTGTTGAATAAAGATGCGATATAACATAAAATCAGCTGTCTGAAGTCTTTACAACGATAACGATTATTACGTTTCTAATCAAAATGCAAATAACAATTTTCAGATATTTTCCCCTTCACCGAAGCAGACACATTGTTATTATACGTCGTCGATGTTTCTTGTTTTTTCGATCTTTTTTCCATTATGCCCTGATGATTGTCTATGAATTATAAATAAAGCTAGAATATTATCAGTGTGGCAGTTGAAATCGATAATCTGTGTCGATTTTGTGTAAATAATCTGTTGTTGAGAAAATATTTATGTTTAGGGACACAGTTTATGCTTGTGCATTTATTCATATAAAAATACTTGAAATCTTACAACAGAAATGTGTCAAACACGATTTTACAGCAGTAAATTAGCTTCTTTTTTGTTTTCGTCTTTTAGTATTAAGTTTTACGTAACTAATTACCTAGAGAGTTGTAAATTCAAAGGAATTTGTTTTTAGTTAAATATGAGAATTACCACTGATTAGAGATATTTTATTGAATAGTAAAGGCTCATGTTTGTGTGTTTGACGCCAAGTTCAGAATTTAGTTTTTGATGCGGTTTCAACGAAAATGAGCAGGGTCCACAGACCTTCGATAATATTTATAATTTAAAAATTCTCCAAAAATTAAAAACTTGCACATAATGACGACATTTCTTTTTTTTAAGTAATTTTGGTTATTATTCATACCTGCAATCATATTGTAAGCTTTCAATTTCTAAATGGACTGTTTGTGTTGGGAATTTATCTTGCCGATTACGTCTATTAGAATGATTCATAAAATTTAAAGGACAAAGGCATTAAATTTTAATTGCATATTTATTTTTATAATGAAAAAATCTTTTCTTGAAGATTCATGCTATTTTTATAGTTAAGTTCATTTCTCCTAGGTAATTAATTTTGCGTTATCACGTTGCAATTTGGACTTGTGTCTCAGAAGAAAAAAACATGTTTGAATACACAAAACTCTCGTGTCTGATTTGGTTGCGATTGCAACAAAATCATGACCTTTTATAGGATATATATCAAAATTAATTTGCAGAGTATATCTTTAGCATAAACTTCAACTGCGTAGCAAAAGTTTCTCCAATGTTCCATCGAATAAAGACCTATCATTATTTTGAAGATGAAAAAGATTTGAATAGAATTGAAAGTGGAAAAATGAAAAGAAATTTATCAAGTGCTAGAGTCTCACGTTTTAATGAGAACAAAAAATTACAGCTGGAAAAAAATATATCTGAAATAATTTAAAAATGTAGCTTTTCGAGTAGAAGTCAGCGTCAATTTGGTATCATTTGGCAAATATCATTCTCAATGAGCACATGTGTTGAAATATTTATTGAATTTTGTGTTTGTAATCTATATAGAAATAATTGCAACCAGTACTAAATTGTTGGATATGTTAAATATTGTTGTAATCATTTGTCTATCCATCATTTCTCATTCGCCGTAAACAAATTGATACTCCAATTAGTTGTGTAATGTTTAGTGGAAAAGAAAGTATGTCATCATATTATCTTTGTTGTAATTGCTGCATTAATATATGTATCTCTCTCGTCACATTTACCATTTTTTGTGTCATTCAATTGTGCTATATTTTGACTTATATCATTTTATGTAGATAATGAAAACGAAAAGTTTTCCGACTTACCTCCTTCATCGCACGGTTCATTAAGTTCAATCACGACGACGTCCATTGCATCATCTGAGGATCCGAAGGGTGGCGACCATGTTGGCGGTGGTTTTGACGAGAAAGGATTTGATCGTAAGCCATCAAAAGTCGTACATCAGCCAATTAAGCAAGAAGAATGGTGGAAAACAACGCTACAGGTTTCAATACCGTTTTTAATTGCTGGCCTTGGGACGATCGGAGCTGGTTTAATACTGGGTCGAGTTGAGGTAGGCATGAAGACATATTCATTTTAATTACGTTTTTTTTTTTTAAAGTTCCACTTGAATGGAAATTCACTGGTTCGGCCTATCGCCGACCAACATGTCTATTGCAACTTTTTTTTGTAATGTAACAACATTGTCTTATTACAAAACACTTCAGTATACTGATTGGCGTACTGAACAAAAAAAGGAATATGTTATCATTAATTAAGCGATAAAGTGTCTACTTTGGGATAGGTGAAAATAATGAAGAAGAAGAAAAACCCGATTGCATTCGGCAATAAATATTTATCCGTTCTATAAATAGTAGAGCTTATCGACTTATCGATTCAAGAAAGATGTTCTATTTTGTAATGATTATGCAGTCAATTGAAATGCTAGATAGAAAAAGTGCTCTTCAATAATTGACTTGAATTTTAAGTGTACACGCTTTACATTGTAACTGTGACATTTTTTTTCATATAGAAACTTGCAAGCAATCCAGATCCAACTCTTTTCTATGAATTCGAACTGCGCGTAAGTTGACGTGCAGTTATTTCCGTTGATAATTTATCTGCCATTGTTTGAGAAATAAATACCCCATTCAAAAGAGACATTTCGTTCAATGTTTGCCATCTAACAGTACGTTCAATTGAAATATTGTCTATAGACTAATTTCCATAAAAATTTGCACCAAATTATAATGAGAATTCAAGTCATTTAGCTCTAATTCCATTAAAAAACGAAAAAATTCAAAATAATTCTATCCATCTCACACTCGTCATCACATTTCAGTTACGAGTGTTTTATTATTCGATAAAAAAAAATATATATCTGCGAACAACACATTTGCAAACTATCAAAATACGAGACCAACGTCATGTCTAAATTGGATCCCTTTGAAAACAATAACAATTTGAAGGTCGTTTCCAGCGTTGTGTGTTTTTCAATCAATAGTACTCGCTCAACATAATGCAACTGAATGTTGATAACAAGTATCTAATTTTTTGTATTTCCTTTTACAAGTATCTAATAATGGTTTCTAATTGGCATGAATTGTTTCCCTCATTATTCTGTGTTGAATATGTTCGAGTTTGCGACTAAAAAGCATGCCAATTTCGTTCTGTTTTTATTTCAATATTTGTTTATTTATGTTTTGGTTTTGTTTTTTCACAATATGATGTGTAGCATTGGAAGGTGTTTGGAAAAATTTCGGAGCTGTTTATACTGGTGCCTGCGTTGTTGGGTTTGAAGGGCAATCTGGATATGTGTCTCGCATCACGTTTGTCAACGCAAGCCAATTTGGGTCGGATGTCTTCAAAATCGGATGTCATTCACATGGTTGTCGGCAATATTGCGTTGGTGCAAGTTCAAGCAACGGTCGCTTCCTTCATCGTGTCTGTTTTTGCGATTGGCGTCGGAAATGCAACCCATAAAGAGTTTGTTTGGTCGCACGCAATGTTATTGATTTCGTCAAGTATGTTTACGGCAACTATATCTTGTTTTGTATTAGGTAAGACATTGATTGACACCAAACCAAAATAATATACAATTATCGCAAACCGATTAAGCAACAATTTTTTGTATTCGTTAAATTTATAATCGAAATGGTTACTAACCGATTATCTTTCTGATTGTTCCAACAGATTTTGTTCTGGTGGCAGTGATATTGCTATCGCACCAATTCCATATGAATCCAGATAATCTTGCAACACCTTTGGCCGCGTCGATCGGTGACGTTGTTTCATTGACGGTTTTGTCCTTCATTGCATCGACACTTTATGAAAATTTGGGTATGTTGGAGCATACTTTTTACTATTATTCATCAAATCATATTTCAAATGGCCGCTTTTTTTACAGATACACATTTGTGGGTGGCATATGTTGTGATTGGCATTTATTTGCTCCTATTGCCTGTGTGGGTTACGGTGGTTCTGTACAACACTCACACCTGCAAGGTTTTGAAAAGTGGTTGGATTCCCGTTTTGTCGGCTCTATTTATTAGCGGGTAGGTTCTGTTGTTTACACACTTAAATTGTTGGTCGTTATTTTAAAAGCATGTTTATTTACAGCATGGGTGGTTTAGTACTTGACGCGACGGTGGATATTTTTAAAGGTTTTGTGGTCTTTCAACCAATAATTAATGGCATTGGAGGAAATTTGGTCTCCGTGCAAGCAAGCAAAATATCAACCATGCTACATCAAAGCTCAATTATTGGCATTGTACCACCGCATACAACTATTTGTGAACCACCACACAGAGCACTGATCAATGGCGGTTAGTATTTAAAAAAGAACGTGACTTTTAACATTGTCATTATGAATTTCAATGAAAAAAACTAACGGTATAACATTTTCTCTCAGTTCCATATGCGAGATCGGCAAAAATTTTGATCTTAATGTCAATTCCGGGTCAAATAGTATTCATTTTTGTGGCTGATTACATTCACGTTGGCCACAACACCATTGGCTACACATTTGTATTATCATATTTGTTTGTCAGCTTATTGCAGGTAAGTCTCACAACCACATATCATATTATTTACAAAGATAACAATAAAGTGAGCAAAAAAATCACTCTAAACGTACGATACAATTGTGACTTGGAAACGAGATAAGATCACATCATCAAAGTTAGTCGCATTGATAACGCGAACATAGCAGTCATTAAAAGATTTATCATTATCAAATCAATTTCGCCATGAATTTATGAAATGGAATATCGGCGCTATGAGTGATTTTTTACTTTACGAATTCCATTCCCTTTATTTACGATGTGTTTTCTTTTATTTTTGTTTTTCTATATAGATCTGCACATTACTATACATTGCTCATGTTATGATCCATGCCATGTGGAAGTACAAAGTGGATCCTGATAATTCGGCTATCCCGTTCCTAACGGCACTCGGTGATTTGTTCGGTTCATGTTTGTTGGCCATGGCGTTTGCGTTCATGATATCGATCGGACAGGCGTACAATGCATCTAGTGACCTATCTGAAACTGTAACCACAGCGCCAGCATGGGGAGAATAGAAAGCCAAATTGTTTTATGTCATGATTTTGTATTTTAAAATGCTATACTGCGTTAAACACTGTTTTGCAGACGTAAAAGATCAGTGTGTCCATAATATATAGAAATATCACTAAATAGTGTCGATATCTATACTATATCGGTCCACTATATATGAAAGATATTGCCGCACGGCACCGTATCGCACGATCGAAGTCAGTGTAGACGGAAAAAATCACAAATTGCCGTGCGGCAGTAGAAAGAACTGTGTGTATGTTTCAACATGTTTGCCGTCCGCAATCACTTCGATCATGAGCTACGGTGTCTTGCGGAATATCTTACATATATAGTGCACCGATATAGTATAGATATCGACACTATTTAGTGATATTTCTATATGTTATGGACACACTGTAAAAGATGATTTGTTTAAAATTGGCCCATTTTTCGATATTTAGATTCAGTTTTGGTTGCGTTTCAATATGTCAAATGTCAATGGAACCACGCCAAATTTAGTTCCTGATTCACAACCAAAATAAGGTTTGCCAAACATTTGGTCATTTGATATGGAAAACAACCCACCTATTTTTCTCATGAGAAACGTGACCAATTAAACTGCTGCTGATTTTTCGTCATTTCATCAATTCAAAGAAACAAAAGACAAAATATGGAATCGTTTCAAGCATGAAATCAATTTGTATGAGTACAGTTATGTAGCTTAATAGTGATTATATAGAATTTGAAACTCAACGAAAGCGATTGCAATCCAATGAATATGAACAATATTCAGGTAAATTATACTTTTTTAAAAAAAATGTTTTTAATATGGTCCCAGTTCCCAATATCAATTTTATTTATAACCATCAATTCAACGCGAAAAAAAAACAGACACACAGTGATTTTGAACAATTTCCTTTCTAACTTTTGTATTTTATAATATCTTTTTTATTGACTTCCATATTGTTTGTATTTTAAACGAAGTTCACCTATGCAAATTGTTTGACATTTCATTATTATTATTATTGAAAAGAATTGTGTAATTATTTCTCGAAAGAATTGTTTTAAAAAAAAAATTGTATTTATTCCACACCATTTTATTGTGTAACATTCAGAATTTTGCTTCGGAATTGTGCAATTACGTGTGAAATTGATTTATTATCGACAATAATATCTAGCAGAAAACAACAATAAATTAAAATAAAGACAGAATTGGAACGATGGCTTCTAATTTCGGTCTGAAAAAATGTCTATGTTTTTCCAAAGAAACAAAATTAAATTTTGCAACATTTAAAATGACAAATTGTGTGTCTTCATTCATAATGCCAAAGATGAGTTGCATTCTCCCCCCCTTTTTGAACTGTGATGTGAGCAGTTATTTAAGTGCCGCAACAATTGATCTTCAATTATGTATGGTTTTTTTTTGAACAAACTACTTTGTAACTTGATTTCAATTGGCAAAAAAAAAAAAAAAAAATTAATTTTGGACTGTTTTGAATAAGATTTGCCGAAACATTTTACAATTATTAAACATACAATCAATTGCTATTTCATTTCGATGTGTATGTGTGCAACAGAAACCAACACTTAAATATACGTATCACACAATTACTTGTTATCTAGAAGAAAAAAAAGACAAAATTATCATTGTATAAATTATTACCCAAAAAAAGAGACAACCGATACATATTTTTGACAATATTTCAATTTAGATACAAGTGAAGTTCCATGAGTGGTGCTTTTGATAGAGAAAAAACACATGTAATATGTTTTAAAAAGGAAAATTGTCAATTGAATGGAATAAAATGTGGAAAGCAATCAAGGAAATGAAAAATAAAATTTTACTTTTTAATGTGATTTCATTGTATTTTCTTATTTCAACCTGTACAATTATGTCTACAACAAATTCTCAACTCGTCATTCACACACCATTCAATCTAGGTCAACTCATTTAATAACTATTTAATTTGGTTTAGAAATCATAAATTTCCATTCTTTTCGATGTATTCATCTACATTGTGACGAAAGAAGAACGCCTTTCCATATTCGAATGAAGTAATCATGATGGCACAGGCGGGCGCTACTTTTACAACACGAGGTATGACACCGGCAAAAATTCCTCTTACTCCATTCTCGTGGAGAATTTTACGTAAAATTGCGATTGTTCCGACTTTTGGCAGGGATTTTACCGGTTGATCAGCATATAAGACCTTTTCTCCAAATTCAATTTGTTTGTGTGTTTTTACAACATCAAATGGGGCCGTTAAAAATGCTGCGATCTAGAGAAGCGAAAAAAAAATTATTACAATCAGTTTTGTTAATCGGTATTCGGCATGGGTTCTGACAATGGAAAATCTAGGAGAACAGGGCCAAACATCATATTTCATTCCGACCTGTACAACTTATGTCAGAACCTATGGTATTCGCCAGTTGGAAATTAAAGTAGCTTACGCTGCCTGATGTTGCGCCGCCGAACAGACTGAACCAACATGTGGGCACCGTAACGTCATTTTGAGCTTTAAGCGACTCATAGATGGCCCAGTAAACACCAGAAAATGGAACATCTCGTAAAACCGTTGGTCCCAAGCCACGCCATAAACCAAAAACACCCTCCACTTCAATCATTGCCTTCAACGCTTTTCCTACATCTGAACACAATATTGGATAAATTAAATTTTCACGCTAAAATCACACAAAAACTGAATTACCGTAATAATTAAGCCTCTGCGATTGCATTTTAGTTCTTATTAGTTCTAATGGGCTTACTACAGATACGGAGAACACACGTGCTGCCATCCCAGCCAATAGCGGTACGGAAAATGGTTGTTCGGTTTGCTCTGAAATTATTAAATAATTCAATATTTACATGGTTGTGTTCTTTTAAGTCATCGGTTTGTTTCAAATGAAACGTACCAGGATTCAGCTTAAGGTAAAAATCTTTCATGTACAATCTCGTTGCTTCGTAGGATACAAAATAGCAAATAGTTGCCGGCAGTGCTAGAACCAATGTTGGCGAGAGGCCAGACCACAAAGACCTTGCTCCTTCATGCCTGCTTATTTTGTAGAATGCATCCTATGCGAAAGAAGAACAAAGTTCATTTACTTTGATTTTCTGCGATAGATTCAAGTAATAAAGGTGAACGTACAATCATGCCGGTATAGTGTGTTGATTGTGTTTTCAGTGATTTTAGTCCACCGTTCGGACAAGGGCATAGATGATCCATTAAACCGTTGCAGTACATATAGCATCTATTCGATGCCATTCGCTTTTGTTGCGTTTGAAGCCTTGTCTTTACCACATCCAACGGTGTCACTAGATAGATAATCGATTAATGCATTGCGGAGTCTACTTTGCAATGGTTGATGTCACAATGACGACAATTTACTCACTTAAAATGGAGGTTAATAGTGCACCGGTGCATGATGACAACATTTGTTGATAAGGTTTTATCCGGAATCTCTTATCGTCCATATCGACGGCATACTCGTGGCCACGACTATCCTTGAACGTGTATATCATTTTGATGTGTATTGAAATTGCAAATTCAACTATGAACGGTGAATTATAAATCAATTGAAATACAACTTAAATAGACGGATTGAAAACGGTGCTGAATCAAATCATGTTTTGCTCAATCGAGATGATATAACTAATACAACATTTCGCCACTTACCAAATAATGACGAATTCTCAACTTATAGCAATATCTAACACTCGACTTCAGATCATCATTTCAATTATGGTATTAAAACATGAAAATTTCATACGATTTATCGAATCACAACACACAACACAACATTTGCTCCGTTATTGTGAAATTTGACAGTCAAGAAATGTCAACAGCACATGTGATATAACAATTCAACGAGACATTTCTACTTGGAGTGTCATTCTCACATGAGAACGGTTAAAAACAAGCTCAGATGCACGTACTAGATAACGCACACTTCCAATCAAGCGCTTACTTACGTAAATTCAACAACCTGGAGTCCACAACAATCGCATAAAATCATTTTGAATGGGAAACAAATCTTGCATGCGTTATCTGTAAATGAAGACGAAAAAAATCTTTCAATGATAGCAAGAAAAGCTGTTCATTTTACTGTGATGGCAGCACTTGTCAACATTTTTGACACTCATATACTGTATAACACTTCCACATATAAACCCGTTTTCAATGTATGTAAATCAATACTGTGTTGGCATATAGGCTATTCAGATTCCGTAAAACACGTCAAGTCATCATAAAGGTATAAAAATAGTGAAAAGTTTGGTGCCGGCCACAGTAAAACAATTCAACTCATTTCTATTAAAAAAATTGTTTTTCGCGGTATCGACTTTAATTAGAAAGACTGATACAATGAAATCGTCACTGAACATTTTAGTATTTTTATCATCAATTGCATTTTGCGTTTGTGCCGATTCCATATCAAGCATCGAATTAAATCGAGACAATTTTGAATCCGAAACTAATGGAAAAAATACAGTCGTCTTTTTCTATTCGCCCAGGTAATTTTTTGAACAAAAAATACATAGAACTGGTCTTTGCAGAAAAAAAAATTTCCGATCATGTTTCAAGAGATGACATGTGAATTGTTTTTGTTATTTCGTGAATCAATGGCGGTGCTTTTAATACCATATGATTTACAATTTATTATTTAATGTTGTTGACCCTTGATTTAAAGATATCAGCAATAACTGTTTCCTTTAAGCAAAAAAATTCTGAGAATTTTTTTTTCTGATAAGTCAAAAGATTAAAAAAAAAATCTTTGAAAAGTTCAAAAATAAAATCTTTTTTTAAAAAAGGGGGCGGAAACCTATTTTCAGATATTGAAATCACTATCAAAGTGAACCGTACTTTTCATATAATTTTTTTTTTTGTTTCTTTGTTTCTCTCGCAGCTGTGAATTGAGCCAGCGTTTCTTCGCCAAATTTAATAAATTAGCCGAGAATATCAATGTCCGCGATGACGTAAAACTTGTTCATGTTGATTGCGAAGCTGATTCAGAGTTTTGTAATTCAAATGGCGTCAAAGGTTTGAATAAAATTGAATTTCTCTTCATGAAAATCCAAATAATGAGCCATTTGTGCAAAGCAGATATTTGATTACCAAATTGGCTTGAATCAAATGTAACTTTGATGAATTTCATTCAATATTCTACATATTCGTTCGTCTAGGTTCGTCGGTATTCTTCTACCCAGAAGACAAAGAACGTGTTCAATTCAGCGGCGTCAAATCGGAAGAAGGTCTATCGAAATTCTTGGTTAAAAATTTGGGCGATACCATTTTGGTGAGTCTATTTAGCTCATTTAAAAATATCAAATTTCGTATTATTTCGAAGGCAAAAAATTGCAAACGTGTACAATTCTTGCACGGTATATTTCGTACGTGGTTCTAGCTCCCATCAGTTGAATATATATTTACAATATTGCAAAACCGTCTGACGATTTCGCGCAAACCATATGTTGCAATGTTAAGGCATTTGCACACCTGTGTTAACATAGACATTTTGAAATTTGAATTGATTGCAAATGATTTACGAAACTTTTTTGTTTCCCCTACAGAGTAATCTATTGGAAGTTCCAGAAAAATTGGACGCTTTGAACGATTTGACTGATGAGACATTTGCCGATCATGTTGCTGTTGGAAATCATTTCATCAAGTTTTATGCACCATGGTGCGGTCATTGCCAGGTAATTTTTCAATGCCTTTACATTTTGTTGACGATACAATTATCGATTTTTCTTTTGAATTTAGCGTCTTGAGCCTGGATGGAATGAATTGGCCAACTCATTGGAATATGATCCATCGGTATCGATTTCACGAATCGATTGTACTCAACACCGTCCGATTTGCAAAGATTTTGATGTAAAAGGCTATCCGACTTTGTTGTGGATCGTCGACGGTAAAAAGGTTGAAAAATACAGTGGACCACGAGCTGTTGAAGACTTTAAAAAATACATTGAAGCAAAAACAGCCAGCGAGAAGAAAGTTTCAGATGAACAAGAGGCTAAAGTTGAAGAGATTGCTGTCGTTCAATTGACTGGCAACAATTTCGTTCATGGAATCAAAAAAGGGGTTACAATTGTTAAATTCTTCGCTCCATGGTGCGGCCACTGCAAAGTAAGTTACTATTTGATGAACTGCTATTGGAATTTTATACCCGAATCTAACTGGTTTTTTCTTTGTTTTAATTTATTAGCGCATGGCATCAACTTGGGATGAGTTGGCCGGTAAATTTGCAGGCAAAGAGGGTGCAAAAATTGCCAAAGTCGATTGTACACTGGAGGAGAACAAAGAGTTGTGCAATGAGCAAGGAGTTGATGGTTTCCCCACTGTTTTCCTCTACAAAGACGGTGAGAAAGTGGAAGAATACAACGGAAGCCGTTCGTTGGAAGATCTCTTCGAATTTGTTAGCAAACATGCACAAATTCACGATGAATTCTAAATTCAAGCCAAAATAAGCAATTCATTTGTCAAAAATGCATTAGATTAAACTAAATGTTTTAAAGACGTAGCCGTACATTTAGATCAATTAGGCATTTGTATAAGTTTTGCACATTTTTTGTACAGAAAAACTTACCGAAACTTACATTTATTTGAAGTATTTATTTGTAATTTTTTGTTTTGTGGCAATAGTCCTTCTTCTTTAGTCATCAGGACGATTAAACATTTTGTAACAGTATATACCTACGAAAAATTAAACGAAATACAAAAAAAAAAAGATAAAATGAAAGTGTTTTCTTTTTCTTTTATAGAACGGTGTGGTAAAGAGATCACACACACGTAAAATGTTTATTTAGGCTGTTCCAGAGTTGACTTTACAGGATGAAGTGACTGAGTTTTTGTTTCTATTTGTTCCAATTTTTCATATTTTTTTTATATCATAAATATACATTTCTTAATATTAAACGCACCCTAGGTGCTCTCTACAAGTTCATTTAGCTGCGCAAAAAAATAGTTTCTTCCCGCTAACTTAGGGCTCTAACATCGTTGCGCAAGTAAATGCATAATTACATACAATTTGTGTGTGTTTTTTTTTATTTATTCATTTTCACTGGGTGTGTTTGTTGTTTTTTAGATTCATTTGTGTTAATAATAATCAATTCTTCAGAGTTTCAAATAGCTTAGTTAAATTAAGAGTAAATAATTAATACGAATGAAAGAATATCATTTGTTTTTGTGTGTGTGTTTTGTTGTTGTTGTTATATATGTATCTGTACTTTGGTCCTACTCGGTTGTGTTCCATTCATCGGAGGCGTTGTGATGATGATGATGATGATGGTCTTGTTCAATGAATTCGACATGTGTAAATGGAAAATGGCCAGATTTTCCTCGCAGCTCACCTTCCCATTGACCGTTAATGTTTGTTTTAGTAACGGTAATAACATCGCCAACTTCGAGCTTAAGAGCTGTTTTATCATATGCATTTGGTACACGGGCTTGTTTAACTCGCGCTAGCGCTGGTAGTTTTCGATTTAGATTTGATTTCTTGAGTGTATTATCAGACTGATGTGGACTAGATTTGCCTGTGTTGTTCATTATATTGCCGGCACCATTGTTTATCGACCGTTCCAATGTATTGGTGCAGCTATTTAATTGTGTGTCATCGTATTTTTGCACATATGGTACTGGAATTTGGCCAGTATGACCGAGTGAATTGCGTGCCGTCCACCATTGTTCTTCATCTTTGCTAACAATATACAAAATTTCACCTTTCCTAAATGGCAGATCATCGGCATCACTTCCATCGAAATCAAATTTCGCTATCACTCGTTCCGTTTTTCGTTGCACCGGACGTATTAACACAGTTGTATCCAAATAATGAATTTTATAAAAATCCAATAATTCGGGCAAATCGACGAACGAATGATCGCCAATGCGATACACTGTTTGTAATGTTGGCGCATGTTGTTGAATTTTATTGATGATATAATGACTCACTTTTGTATTTTCTTTGACACATAGCACATAATCTCCTGTTATTGTATTACTATCGCGCACCAAAAACACACCATTATCACGCTCTTGTATCAACAACTCGTTTGCATCCTGACGTGACATTGCACCAAAATACCAGCTATTACGATCATGTGCGTCAAACGTATGTATTGCCATTTTGATTGGTTCTCACTCACTCTTACTCTAATCTTTTTTCCTTTCTTTCTACCTCTTGCCCTTCTCTAATTGACTGTTGTTATTCAACCTATGCAATGACGTCAAAAATCTGCATGGCGATTACCATTGAAATATTTGTATCTGTGTGTCTGTGCCCCTGTTTTAAATTGTGCTCCAAACAGAAAAAAAAAAATAAGTCAGCGATATCAGCACCCGTATCTCTCTTTAATAAACAATTACGAAATTCTTCAGCATCGAAAGAGGACAGCAAAATAATTCTTCTTAATCGAGCATCTAATATGGCGCATTGTCGCTTAATTTGTACACTTGAGAAAACGAACGTACGATATGTGCACAAGTCACAAACACTAACAAACCCATGCACATATTTCCATTTACCATACACTAAATATACGTATATTAAACGCAGTGCACGTATTCAATATTCACAATAAATGCGTTGTGGTTTTCTTTTTCTCACTTCTCGAAACTTTTTTATCTCTTCTTCTGCGAATGTATCGATTTCTTGGTATCTATTTTTTTTATATATATATTTTATTATTATTTTTGTTGTAATCCACAAATGCATCCAATTTTCGATATGTGCGTTACATAATTTTACTTTCAGTGCAGTTTATCTTCGTTGATGATTTCACTTGAAATGTATCAATGAACAAAAAAAAATTAAATGTCTTGTTTCTTTTGCGCTGTCTCTTTTTTTCGGTGCGTTCAATGAAATTGGTTAATGTTCGTTTGTTACGCTGTGTATTCAATGCAAGCACTGATTAAGTTGTCTGAATTTGTACAATTCACACCCTCGAGTCGAAACGATACGATACAAGTATGTGACTTCGGTTTTTTGTAGTGTTGGTTCGCTATTCGCTAGTTTCTACTCTTATAAACTGAATATAATTACTATATGCGGGATATGTGCACATACGCACACACACACACACTTACACATCCATATATATTCGTATTCTCTCCATATATATATGGTATATGCGTTTGAGAGTCAACTTCACTCCAATCCACGCTGACCTTGAACATTGTTTACAATTGAAGAAATTGCAAAAATTCGAAATAAAGCGCTTTGACTCCAAGTGAATTTTCCCTTGGCTCAATTTTGGATGAAATTTGGACATTTTTCAATGATTTTCCGCAATCAAAATACGTTCATTTCCAAAGCAAATGAATCTGAAGACATCATTTTGCGAGTGTATACATTGGTCAAAATCTACAATTTGTGGAGAGTGTGTGAGATATAAATAGCAAGTGTTTTGACACATGTCAGACTCTGTGTTTTTCTACTAAAGATCAAGTTATTATTGTTTTCTCAATCACATCAAACACAAAAAAATAAACTTATTTCGTTGTTTCATAATAATGAGCAAGTAAATTCTTAAAATCAAACTAGCCTTCAGCGATCCATTTCAACGCAATAGGAGCGTGATAGCAAAGTGTTTTTTGTTTGCTTCAAGCAAATAATAAAAAAACATTTTGGGCCTTGGCCACGGAATTTCGAACCAAAAATACTGTGAAAATGGAAGGTGAACAGTCCAATCCAGATCCAAACATAATTGAGGTAAGACCATTGTGATGTGATCATTTTAAGTTTGTTGGCTTACGTTGCGTTTCATTTTTTTTTTCTCTAGATGAACAATTCGACGAGTGTATTGCATAAAATCGCCAATATGTATGCTGAACAGTTGATGTCAGATATCTGTTTAGTGGTTGGTGACAATAGGTATCCGGCACATCGTGTTATTTTATGTGCCAGCAGCGAAGTATTCCAGGTGATGCTTATGAATCCCGAATGGAATGAATGCCGCGAAAGTGTGATCGAATTGAAAGAAGAACCGTGCTGTGTTGAAGTATTTCCACAATTTCTAAAGTACTTGTATGTGGGTCAAATACGTATTTCGTTAACGGCCGTTATGCCAATGCTGGCACTTGCCGATAAATACAACATCAAAGTAAGTTTCATTTTCGTTCGGTTTGAAATTAGAGAGCTGTTATAGCTGCAAGGTGAACCCCCTTCGTCGGTGCCACTGACAGTTCTGATTAAATCTCGTATAAAATAATTCCAAAATTGAATATTTCAGGATCTCGTACAATTGTGCGTCGATTACATGCTGAAGCATATTTCCAAAGCGGCCACCCAAGGCGTGTTGGTTTCATGGTTGCATTACACAATTTCATTTAGTCCGTATCATCAAGAAATCACCGATGCCATACAACACTTTTTGAAATACAATTTAGATATCATCGCAGAGGCGCGCGATTTTGTCGATTTAGATATAAATATATTGATTGCATTATTGCAACAAAATGATTTAGTTCTCAAAAATGAATATGAACTATTTACATACGCCGAAAATTGGTTCAATATGAAAAAACAACAAATAGACCATGAACAAACCACCAGCAGCATTACAGATGAAGAAAAAGCACAAAATCTTCGCGATATGTTGCGTTCGATTTTCATACACATACGGTATCCGATGATGAGTCCGCGAGATTTGGCCAATTTACTATTGAAACAGACGATAAAACAAGATGCCGATTTCTTTGTTGAACGAATTTCAATCGGCATGATTTATCATTCGGGCCAAGTTGAATGTGTGGAAAAAGTACAACGCACTGCGGAAGGTGCCTTACAATTCACACCACGACTTTACACATCCGACACATATTCGATTCGCATCGATGTTCCAGACTTTGAAAATGTTGAAAATTATAAAAAATTCGGCGGATGCTTTTTCTCACTACGAAGTTTGGCCGAACAAGAGAATCCCGACCAAGATGGTAAGAAATTTGATTTTTATAATACAAAGCAGAGTATTGCTCAGCGCTGCTGCCATCCACAGCATATTAAAATATCTTGCTGAGAATTCGTCGTCCGTCACATGCGAACGTACGTAGCAGTTTATACATCACAGCGAACAAGAATGAATCCATTGTTCTCTTCACGATTATGTGACTCAAAACATTCAAACGATTGAATAGAGAAGAGAGAACAATGCATGTATTGTTGTTCGCTGTGATGTATAACGCATGCGACGGACAACGCATTCTCAGCAAGATATTTAAATATGCTCTGGATGGCAGCAGCGCTGAGCAATACTCTGATACAAAGTCATCTACAGCAATAGACACCACAGCTAACACATACACATTTTCACTTTTTCAGATATTGATTTTTATCAATGGGACATAGACTTTTATCCACGGTAAGCAATACTATTATTCACTATTCACAGTGTCATTTCCGATTTTTTATTTGTTTTTAATGTAAATCATTTGAATTATTTAGTGGAATTCGACATGGCAAAGCCCAGATAATCAATGTTTACAATTTGCCTGGTTCGCTTGAAATACCCGAAGTCCTGTTACGCACTGTTCGTTTAAGCGTCACCTGTAAATCAAATTTGGAGATTGATCAAAAATTCATGGTGAGATAATTTTATTTTGACTAAAGTTTGAAGGGGCGATTTTTTTCAATGTATTTTTTCTTCCCTGCAGATTGGTGTGCTAATCACTGGCGTTCAAAATGACATCAAGCACGTTCGTACGGTTCATGTGTGTACGTCATACTTTTCAAAAACAAATCCAACACTAAATATCGACAATTTACTTCCATACGGTGAACTGGAGCTGAGCACCATCAAACTAAGTCCGCATCTCATCGGCAAAGAAAGAAATTTGTTAAATTTACAAGTCATTATTGTTCCAATGGGCGTGTACACGTGTTACGATACAATTCCATTTGAATTCAAGTAGTCTGTGTCTTTGAAGCGCACAATCCTAATTTTAATCACCGTCGTTCATATAAACGTTCTACCATTGTATCCATCATATTGAATAATTATTGTTTTTTTTTTATTGTTAATCCCACGAGCCCAATATCCTGTCTAAACTATACAATGTGTTATAACATTTAATCGGGATAGGCAATTACTTAACCACAGGACAAAAGAAATACATTTAACCGAAATTTTATTTGAGAGGAATAAAAACAAATTCAAATGAAGTCAACACTTGGCATTTTCTATTAGTAAATTATTAATTGACTTTGTAGTGGAATAGGTATGTATCTAATATTTTGTGACAACTTTATAATAATGAGGCTATGCCGAGCCATCACCATCGTTTCTTTGAACCTTTTGTATTGGTTCGGGCATCTTACTTTTGACGAAAAGGAAAACAAATGCACAAGCTGTAAGAAATCCCACAATTTTAAGTCGAACGAAAAGAAATCAATAAAAAAATGTGAAATAAATTGTCATACTCAGAGTAAGAGCGCCAAATACATTGAAAATGAGACTGCAATCATGTTCTACCATTACACCAACCAAATTTGTTCCAACTAGACCTATATAAAGATAAATATAAATTATCATAGTCAAAGTAGGAGCCTCAAATACAAACTAAACCTCCGATACGCCCGAACATATAAATGAAGCATGTGGCCATGGCACGGACATTTGTTGGGAACAAACTCACGGAAATGGCACTAATTATTGTAGCGCATATACAGCAGCTCTGAAAAGTGATGAATGTTCCGACAATTGAGTAAAAATCCGTTAAAACGTTCAACGCCACTGAACATGTAGCCGATAACACCAGCCAAATAGCTAAAAATGACACAAACACAGTGTTAATGACAAAACGAAATAGATAAAAACGTAATTCACTTACGAACTAAAATTCTTGGGCTAATTTTATCCAAGTAGATGCTTATCAAAGTAGATAAAATGGTGAACGTCAAACCGATGAAGAACATGACTTGGTAAATTGTTGTGTTGCTGTTATCAGCATTGCATACATCATTGCTGTGAATGGTGGAATTTTTTTTATGGAAATCAAATATTAAATAGAATTTGTAATTTTTGATTGCTTCAATTTTGTACCTTGTAGAAACGACTCTTTTGTGTCCAATAACACCACATAACGTATTGCTTGAATCCATATTATTTTGCAACTCATTCAAAAAATAGGGGAACCTTACAAGCAAATTCGAAGGAAAAATGAAGTGGTATTTTGCCATTAACTTCTCAAATCATACATACCACAACGTCAGACCATGACCAATTGCAAAGAGAGTAAACATCAAAAAGCACAGTTTCAAAGTACTGTCCAAATATGGCACTACAAAAATCGGTTTCGTTTGATTCCAAACGAGCTTTAAAATGTTCAAAAATCCCTTCGTCGCCGTCAAACTATTTCCGGCGGCTTCTGGTATTAAATGCACAACTGGATACATCTATTAATTTTAATTTATTTTATTTCACGCCGTTTCCGTATATTTCATGATAAATTGATACCTCCTTTGAATTTCCGGTATTTATTGCGTACATTTGTCTCAGTACTTTCACCGATTCATCATGTTCATTCATTGTGAGAAGAAATTTCGGTGTTTCTGGCATAAATATAAAAGTAATAGCAATTGCAGCATTCACCAAAGCCAAAAGGATTAGAAATAATCGCCATGGCACGAAATTGATGAAATAAATGTCGAACTGCCAGTTCATTGGAATCACAAAATAGCCAATTATAGACGCATACAGATATATTACTGGCATGAAAATAGATACGAACGATGCAGCTCTTGGAGCCGATGTTCGTGTATGAAATTCACTAACGTAAGAGAAAACACTTGCTTGCAGACCTGAAATGCTATATCACAAGAGTCGAATTGAATAAAAAAGAAAGAAAATGCTGAAGGGTGTCGTTCTTACAATATCCCGATGATAAAGCGTAGAAAAATCAAAACCGTTGCATTCACTGAAAATGCAGACAATGTAGCACTGATGAAGGCACACATGGCGGCCAATTTTATAACCTTGGCCCTTCCCCTATGTAAATGAAATTGAAAAATTTTGCTATCACCCAACAACGGACCGGCAATTCGGTTCACTAAATAAATAGGAGGAGTTTTCTTGTTCCTACCAAGTATCACACAGTACACCCCAAAAATGTGAGCTTATGATGATTCCCAAGTATTGGATTGAAGTTGCGAGACCTTTTTGCCATTTAATAAAAGAAAGAAACCATATATAAATGAGACCTATAAATGAGACATATCTCATAAACCTTTTTGCGTTGTAGTCATATTTAGATCACAGTTGACAAAAGGCAACACGAAAGCTATTGTTACGGTTTCTACTCCAGCGCCCAACATCACAATGCCCGATATTAGGATTATAAACACATTGAATTTTCCATGTCCTATTTATTGAGAGAAAAAAAAAACCACAGTCGCTTGGCATATATAAATCGTTGGATATATTAATTTAATTTGAATTGAACCTGCTATCTCTATGGCTTCATCCAACGTGTATCTCTTTTCATCGAAATTACAACTTGACTTCATTCTGGCCTTTTTAGTTACAAAGCAAGAAAATACTTTAAAAGAGTTTTCTCACAGTTCTGTATAAGTCAGTATCATAACTGAAAGTGATAGAAATATTTTAAATCCATGAAGTCGCCCGAATTAAAAGTATTAGATAAAATTCAAGTGTATTTGTGATGATAAACAAATATATTTTTGCAAAAATGATAACATTTGATGATGCACCAGCAATAATCGTAAAAACCATTATTTATATTCAGCTTCTATCTGGAAATATCTTTGACGAACTTTATTGAAATCAAAATAATGGCACTGGGTTTTTTTTTGTTATTTATTTGTATTTTATTCATTATTTATTGTATTTGAAATGAAACTATTATTTACGGAACGAGTTCGCAGTCGCAATTAACCAAATTAAATATAATTGAAAAGAAAAAAAAAACATTTTCATTCATAACGATTCATAAAGTATTCCATTAATATTTAATGGTTATAACATTAGCAACATGATCATATAAAAAATGTATGAGCATGTTGCAGTTTTATTTTGACAAATTTCTTGAGGTCACGAATATTCTAGCCGATTACTACTAGTAAATAATAAAATCTTTATCTAATGCTCTCATTAATTCTAAAAAAAAAAAAATTCAAACGTCATATCTAGGGGACATTCATACTAGAAAAACTAGTGAAACTAGCAGCAACTAGCAGCGACTAGCAAGCACTAGCGTATTATAGTCCAAAGCAAATGAATTGAGGCATGTAAAATATATTGTAGCATGCGTAAGTCGCTTGCAAACGAACCAAGTGAATAGCGGAGACGCACGAAAACGAAGTGAGTGAATAGTGACAACGAACGTTGTTATCCGTTGCCGCAATACACTCACTTCGTTATCGTGCGTCTCCGCTATTCACTTGGTTCGTTTACAAGCGACTTAGGCATTACTGTTGTTTCTTTTATGTATCATACGATACGTCTAGGTAATTTCAAAACACTAGAAAAACTAGCAGCTCCTAGCAGCACTAGTGTACTCACTAGTAATACTAGTAAGCGATTAGCGAATACGTAAATAAAACTAGCTTACTAGAATTGCTACGAATGTCCCCTAGCGTCATATTTAAAACTCTTTATGTGTGAGTAAGATTCAATATATTGTCTGACAATAGAACACAGAAAATTTCGGAATAATGAATATGCAATTAAAACTTTTTTAAGTATGAAAAAAACATGACTGAGATGGATAAAATATTTGGACATCGATATTACAATTGGCGAAATTAAGAGAAATGGCAATTGTACACAGATTAAAATGTCCTTTTTTGTAAGCATATCAATTGTATGGTTGGTTTTTTCGTAAATTTCACTGCCTTTTTTGAAAGAATAACTTTTTCATCAAATTTGTTGGTTTTTTTTTGTTTTGAAACGAACATGCTTACATTTTTCGATGATTTTTTTCAAGTTTTGAATAAGACTGATGAATTCACTGTCCTTCCAGAAATAATATGAATACCACGTTAATATCAACCGTGCACATAATAAGAAAAAGAAAAAAAGATACGTTTATCGCGAAGACTCGATGCTTGACATAATATTCCAAACCGAGATGAAAGCTTCTTTAATGATTCAAATGTCTTCATTTTCAGATATTTAGTTTTCTGCGTTTTTATCACTTCAGATATACTTTGGAAACTACTTCAATTGTATTTTTGGACCAGCTTTTATAAAAATCGTAAATCTACGAGTTAGTGTGAATGAAAACAGGTGCACCTCAGAAATTCATCAAAAATTTCAAATAATACATATAGAATAAGCAATAATAATATGCTTCATTCCCGAAGAACTTAGTCAAAAATAAATAAATAAATATCATTTCACTAACTTTTTTTATTGAAATCTCTAATTCACTATTTGGTTTTTTCTGGTTTCTATAAAAAAAACTTTTATTCTATTCGCTTAAATAATATATAAAATCAGCATTATCATCAACTATTTAAAATGTTCACTACAAATTCGGATTATGCAGAACAATTGTTCGTTGTATTCGGTGTTGGAATTTCTTTTTTTATCATCAGAAAAACGAATGCACATACTGGGAGAAAAGATTTGAATTTTTCAATTAAAATTTTAAATGAATTAACTCGAATTGGATAACTTACTTAATGAAAGTGCGGCAAAAACATTGAAAATCAAACTGCAATTATGTTCTAATAAAACTCCAATAAGATTTCCACCTATATATTTATAAAACAATTATTTTCTGAGTTATTCAAATTGTATAATTATGATTAATTTACCTGCGAGTCCTCCAATGCGACCAAACATGAATATGAAGCATGTTGCCATCGCTCTAATGTTTGTCGGATAAAGGCTCACGGAGATCGCACTCACTATGGCCGCACATAAACTGCTGCTCACAAATGTTATGAATGTTATAACGATTGAATAAAAATGTGTAAGAAAGTTTATTGCCAGTGCAGCAATAGACGATATTATGATCCAAGTAGCTAAAAATAGTGGACAAAAGATGATTTTAATTAGTAAAGACCTAAGAAATGAAAAAAAAACCATTTGGATTGCTTACGAACTAAAATTCTCGGCCTGATTTTATCCAAACAGAAGCTGATAAGAGCCGATAAAATAGTAAACACTATACCAATGCTAAGCATTATCATGAATGTCGTTGTATTACTGTTATCTATGTCACAGTTTTGTTCGCTGTAAATATGGGAAATAAATTAAAGTCAAGAACAAAGGGCGGCGAGAAAAGTGTATTTTGATTAACCTTGGCATCACACTTTCATGTCCAACTACAGTGCATAACGTTTTATTCGAATTATTTTGAAGTTCTATTAAAAAACCCGGCAACCTTGAATTTACCAGACAGAAAACGTTGAATTATAATTCATTGTGAATAGTGGAGCCGTACATACCACATTACCGAACCGTGTCCAACTGCAAATAGTGTAAAAACAATGAAGCATAATTTAACAGTACTGTCTAAATATGGTGGTACAAAAATCGGTTTCGTTTGTTTCCACACCAGTTTCATAATGTTCACAAATCCCTTCGTTGCCAATAAATTGTTTGTATTCTCCTCTGGGATCAAATAATACACTGGATATCCCTGGAAAAACAAATTCCACAATAAATCAGTTTTGAAGAACACATTTTTTGAATGTCGTCAGGATTATCAGATGATTTTGTGTGAAATGATAATTTTTAGTTAGATTAGTGTGGTCATTTCTTACTTCTTTTATATTTCCAGTATTAATTTCATACATATTGCGCAAAACATCCAAAGCTTCATCTGGTTTATTCACTGCCAGCAAAAACTTCGGACTCTCTGGCAAAAAAGAAAATGCCAAAGTATTGATGGCATTTACGGAGGTAATCAGGATGATGTACAGTCTCCAGGGAACGAATTTGATGAAGATAAGATTAACGCTCCAGTTCATTGGTATTACTAAAAGGCCAATAACCGAGGAATATATGAAAATCATTGGCATAAACATTGAAACAAAAGAAGCCGCCTTCGGTGCGCTTTCACGTGTATGAAATTCACTAGCATAAGAGAAAACACTTGCTAGAAGACCCGAAATGCTAAAAATTGATTAGTTTCGATAATTGTCTGTGTTCCACATCAACAAAGAATTCGATTGTACTTACAATATACCAACAAAAAATCGTAGTATTATTATGGAAATAGCATTTACTGAAAATGCAGATAATATAGCAAAGATAAGGGAAAATGTTGAGGCTATTTTTATAACTTTTTTTCTTCCTGCCGTATCACATATGAAGCCCCAAAGGTGGGAACTGACCACAAATCCAAGAAATGCAATCGACGAGGCCAGCCCGGTTTCACTGGTTGTCATATTTAAATCACAATTTGCATACGGAAGAACAAAAGCTATACTAATATTCTCAATTGTCGCACCCATTAACACTAAACCACTGAGCAATATGATGAGTATATTGAAGCGTCCTTTTCCTAAATTTCGAATTATTAATATTGTGTGAGAGATTCACATTTTAATTTTTTTTATTTCAATTCACCTGTGAGATAAATCGCTTCATCCATCGAATATTTTTTGGTTCCATTGTAATCGGTACTCGGCCGTTTCTTATCTGCATTTCGAAAAAAATAAAATTATATTTAATATAATGCATTTCCGAAAATCTCTTACCTTCTCGATTAGAATTGAAATCGTATGTATGTTTCATTTTAGGTGCTTTGAGTTAAACAGCAACGAATAGACTATTTCGTATATGTTCATACACGACATTACCTAGTTAAATTAATGATGAAATAAAGTCTGTACGTTCGAGATTTAATCGAGGGGCACATGACTCGTTGTCTACATATTATAGATATCATCGATTCACTTACTTCTTGAATGTGTATGCAGATTCCACTGTGTTCGCGAACTAGTTATTTGCCCCTAGGACTTATCTTCTAATCAAATAATTCACAGCGTAATCTGGCTTTGCTATGACATGGCGCCTCAAATAATTCAAACAAATATGGATTCGGCTTTTTAAATTTTAAATGCTATTTAGATTTTAATAAAGATTTGGTTTACACTTCATTTGTAAGTTATAATCTTTGTATAATTGCTTTAAAAGTGACTAATCCAATTTAATTAAAGAACAAGAACAAAATAGTATTACTTCACATTGTAGACTCAAATGTCATATGTTCTTCGAGGAAAAATATTCCTTTCGAGATCTGAAAATGATAATTGAATGAGATTAGTTATGGATTTGTGTGCAGATGATGACTGTCATTTTTGTTTAAGATCTATAAATTACTGTGGTTACTTGATTTTAATCAAAGCAAAGACGAACTTGAAATTGAATCGCAAACTTTTTTTTAGTAATGGTATTAAGTTTAATGCTTATGACTTTCTTGTTAAAATAGCATTCAGTTGCTATCTAGTAATCCTCAAATACAAGTGCATCCATCGAAAAGACATAAAGTGTGATTGTAGCTGATTGTTGCATACATTTCTCATGATTGCCTTGACATTATTCACATACAAAACACAGCTAAATAACAACCACAAAATTTATCATATAGCTAAAGGAATTTGATAAAATGTTCCATATCTTTGATCTAAATTCTGAAACTAAAATAAAAAAGCTTCAATCTTACAAAAAAAAATCTAAAGAAAAGTCGATAGATTTCGAAAAGAACATATTTTATTTTCTGATTTGATGGTTTTGAAAAATCAATTTTGAAATCTTTCGAATTTTGTTGTGTATCAGAGACTCGCGAAATAACTGTAGTTTGCTGGCGGATAGCTAAACTGTGCTGTGTATGGATTGGCAATGGATTTAATAAATCTTATATCAGACGTGGGAAGGCGTCTCCATTCAGCTATTGCCTGGCGCTTCTGTTCTTCTGTTGTCAACCATGAAAGTATAGCCGGCTCGCGAACTCCCTTATTTTGAATTTCTGCACTTATAATATCAAACATTCGATGGTAGTCCAGTTGACCTGCTGGAGCTATAGTTATAAAATTTATATTAAAAATTATTTTTACTCAATTTTTTTAATCAGGTTTCGATTTGAAAAAAAAAAAAAAACTTTACGGCGGTAGATAGACCTGACGAATTCCAGCAGAACTTTTTTCAATCCTTTTCTTTGAAGATTGGGAATTTTTAGCTGTCGTTCAAAATAATTTCATTTTAATCACATTTATTTATCAATCATTGTCAACTATTCGAATATGCACTCACAAATGCGTTCATGCGGTGGCTATTCATCCAATCAACTTCAATTCCAGCCAAATCACATAGATTCAGTAGAAATCGCCAGTCGCTTATTCTGCAATCTTCACTGTCTGCAGTCAGTTCCGTGGCCGAATTGAAATCTGAATATCAAGCAGGATTTTTATTTACCGAAAAAAACACAACGCCAAACCTAAAAACTGATTTTCACTGACCAATAATGAAGCCCTTGTTGCCTCTGAACATTATATTCCCAAGATGGCTGTCACAGTGACAAACGCCACGGCTATGTATAAACTTGGATATTCTCACCTTCACAAAATGAAATTCTCATTTGCAAGAAATAACACTCATCTCTTTAAAAATTGCACTTACATACTCTCGGCATATAATAAAAATGTCAACATCTGTCAACGATGATCTTTTTTCCGGATTTTCTTCTATTTGATTGAACTGTGGATCGAGCGGTGTGATGGCAATCATAGAGCAATCTTCCCACTTTCCATAATAATAAACAGTCGGAATTCCATAATTCTCAACGGTTGAATTATTAATAGCGCCCCACACAGAAATTATGCTCCATAAGAGACTGTATAAAATGCAAAACTGTAGCACTGCTAGCGCCACTACGGACAACCATGGAGTTCTAGTCCGTTGGCTGCAACTGAGCAAAAGTCTTTTCACTATTTGGCGGCAACTTAGTGTAGATTACATTGAATTCCGTCGTGGCGCTAGCAGTGTGACAGTTTGGGCATAATTTCGGTACGTAGCGCCCAGATACGTATACATTGCATATTCATTTTCAATATCCTCTTTAAACGTTGGTGAAAATTTCATAGCAACAACTTTGTCAGTTCGAAGCATTTTACCTGTGAAATCCGATTTATTGAAATAATTATTTAAAGAATATGTCTTTCTTAATTATTTCTTGCCTAGATAAGTAACACTGAAGCCGCCTTTGCCAAGAAATTTTGTTGGTTTGAATACATTATTAATGTTTCCATCATTTTTCAGTAAAACTTCAAGTCTGTCATGCGCTTCATTAAGTTCTTTATCGGGATCACCGATACTACTACTGCTACTGCTGCCAACATAATTGTAAATACCACTGTAAGTATCACTACTACTGCCACTGTGAATCTATCAAATACCATTCGATGACGATCAAAATAATTTATGAGGTTGAATGAGGCGGAGAAGCAACCATAAAGCCATATCTAGTTTTATCTTTGCTGCTAATCATAAAATTGGAATAGAATGTAATACACTTACGATAGAAGGCAATAGTGCCACGCTGACACAAATTATTATTATGGCTTTCATTTACAAAATTCACAATTAATACCGAGCTCAAGTTTTTGGCACATTGGAAAATAGATACTGGTTCAAATGGCTACCGCAATTGTGAATTTATATTGTCTGTTCTAAAACTCATGGAACTTCTGACATTGACAGAATTCCGCGAATTTTTCACGTTATAAAGAGTGATGTGTATGTGATAAAAGCTAGGATAAAGGTGTCAAATGGACCGTTGTCAGACGGACAAGCCATTTTTAAAATGTTTTTGTCAAAATGTCCGTCCGTTCGGACATGAATTTAAAAAGTGTGCGTAAATGTTCGCCCGTGTTTGTCTGTGTGGAACCTTTAATATGTAATGAAAAAATTCCAATTTAAGATCTGTTTTTCGCATTAATATTTGATCTCAATTTTTATCTATAACATTTCATTTCGATTATTCATAAATTGTTCACACCAAAATAATATTTAATTATAATAATATTTATTTACGGCCAAATTGGCTGAATGTGTACAGTGTACATAATTTTTATAGATGGTGGTTCGATTCATCATTACCAATTGATCTGATGATATCATTGTCAATAAAAAAAATGTAAATAAAAAAATGTCATTGAATTTCAACAGTACGTATAATTTACAATGGCTTAATTTTAATAATAATAAAAACTAAGGCGCAACCTGAAATAGAATACAAAGCAAAATGTAATTATCAAATGCATCCCATGAGTTGATTTCCATTTGAATACTCACTAATAAGAAGGCCACCGAATAAATAGAAGATTAAAGTACAGTTAATATTTAGCAATAGGCCAATTATACTGCTTCCAGACACACCGCCAAATCTTCCGCACATCATGATAAATGCAGTGGCCATGGCACGGTAATTCGTTGGAAATAATTGGACAGCAACTGCCATCACGATATTTGCACAAACATTACAGCTCAAGAACAACACAATACTAAGTACAATCATGTAAAAGTTTGTAAGGAAATTCAACGAGACACAAGCTAACATTGACATTAGCAGCCAAGCACCTAAAATAAATAAATAATACAATTCAAAATATAATTGCATTGGAAATGAAATGTGTTTTACTTACAAACTAGTTTCTTTGGCTCCAATTTTTTCAAGTAGAAGCTAGACAGCATTGAAATTGCCAGAAAAGCAAATCCAATCACAAAGAGGAATTGAAAGGTTATAATATTCTTGTTATCAATGTCACACCTGTGAAGAAAAATTGGTTTACTAAAAAGCCACTTTCTATATTGAATAATAATGATCATACATTTCTTCCACTGAAGCAGCAATTCTTTTCGGACCGACAACTTCACATAATGTTTTGGGAAGACCATTGTAACGTTGCAATTGCATTAAAAAATCTGGGATCCTAAATGATGAATGGTTGCGCATAAAATGGTGAAAAAAGTTTTGAAATTGATCAAAACTTACCACACATATGTTCCGTGTCCAATGGCAAACATAACGAAAATGATATACGACAGTTTCCATGTATTTGTGAATAATGGTTTTTTGAACACCGGTACCGTCTGTCTTACAACTAAAGTGAGAAAACCACAAATTCCTTTGGCGTCCGATAAGCTATTTCCCAATGTTACACTTTCGATGCTTTTTACTGGATATTTCTAAGGTCGCAAAAAATGCCGATGTTATAGATTTTTGATCTAACAACATCAGAGTGTCTTACCTCTCTTGGTTTGCCTGTGTTCATGGCATACATTCGACTCAATACATCTAGGGCTTCTTTATTGCGACCCATTGCCACTAAGAATTTCGGTGTTTCAGGCATAAATATGAACACGAACGCATTGAAAAGGTTCACAAATGATGAACATGTCAAGAATAATCTCCACGGCTTGTAATCCAAAGTGTAAATAGAAAATCGCCAGTCCATTGGCATGATGGCAATCGCTAATGGAGACATCACAACCCAAATTAAACCCGATAAAGCAATGCTCACGAAAGCTGCAGCCCTTGGTGCTGCATCTGATGTGTGAAATTCACTTATATACGAGAATCCACCCGATGAGGCTCCGGCCACACTGAATTAATGTTTAATATTGCACTCGGTTTACTTATTTCATATCAATGTAACTTACAAAGTGCCCGCAAAAAATCGGAGAACGATCATGGAATATTTGTCGGGAGCAAAGGCTGATAAAAATGAAAATATAAAGCCACCAGTCCCTGCGACGCGCAACACTTTTTGTCGTCCCCTAAAAATGGAAACGTTTGCTGTCACCTATCAATGGACAACCAAGTTCGGTTCTCTAAATAAATATGATGAGTTCCTACCAGGTATCGCTGAGGAAGCCAAAAAGATGGGAAGAGAATACAATACCCAAATAAGAGACAGTGCTAAGAAATCCTTGCTCTACTGTAGTTAGCTTTAGATCACACTATTCCGTTTAAATGAAAAGAAACACAAAACGTGATTTACGTGATATAATCAAAAGTTTCTAGTTGAGTTGCCTTACTTTTGCATATGGTAAAATATAGCTCATGCTTGTGTTTTCAACTACAGACCCTAGTACGCTTATAGCTGTCAACGAGGTTAAAATGTAATTGCATTTTCCAATTTCTGAAATTGAAGATAGAAATAACGTTTCAGTTTTGAAGAATTCGCGATAAAAAATTAAAACGCTCAATGATATTTACTCGTTTCACGTAGTGCGTCTTCTAAATTATATGAGTCTTTAACTTGAGCTGAAATTTGTCATAAAAATTAATAAAATGTAGAGAAAATTAATTGATTTCTTCCTACTCTGATCCTTATTACTGGACTTTTCATCTTCAACAATATTGATTTGGACCATTCTCTATACTTTTTGAAAATTGATTTTTCACTGAATTTAATCAATCTGCACAAGTGTTTTGCATGTTAGCATACAACTATTGGAACAAGTCAATGGGTTTCTATTATATACGCCACTGGATCAGACATTTTCTGTGCGATAATAAAAATCTTTATCTTTTTTTCAGCTAATCGTCATAAACTTTTGGAATTTTTATTGTTGGACTTGTCACAAAGTGCGAAAGTGGTAGAATTTTATATAAGCTTCAAGCCTAGGGGACGGACACCATTATAAATATTAGAATATTAGCAAAATATTAGCAAAAATTAGTTTGTTTTGCTTCACCATTGCTTGTTAGAGTATTGCGCACTTTGCTCACCGAAAACTTTTTTTGTTACTTTAAGTGTTTTAGTATTTAATAGAAATAATTTTTTTTTCTAAACCAGGAAAAATAAAAAAAATGCTAAATGTTCATCTAATAAGAATTTATGGAAAATTCATACACGATTTCACTTTGAGATCAGCTATTTGACGTTTGACGTTTATACTAGT